CTATTCACAGTTTTAGTGGATCGCAGTGACTCTGATCTGCTTTAGAGTACCACGCTGGTCAGGCACATTATGTCTCATTATTATGCTGGAAGACATGGGTTGGAGGGTTAGTCCGTATTGTTATAGTCTTTTTTAAGGAGGTGGGAGTATAGGGCGTCCGGCATTAATGACCAGAGGGTCCATCACAATAATATTCTAAATTATGCTAGAGGACAGTTACTAAATGTTGATTTTATTCACAGTGACAAATAAGTAGTAGAGGGAAAAACAGGTGTTAAAAAACCTTTATATATTATATATTTAGTAAATTTTACTGGTTCTAAAGCATACAGGGGCGCTGCAAAATGCTTCCACGCCCTATAAGTTTCGGGTCATACATTTATGATGTGCATTTATATATTTGCTAAATATCTAATATTTAAAGATTTTTTTTTAACACCTGTTCAGGCGACATGTGTAGTTGCGTACAATGTTGTACACATCTCTGCTTGTCGTCTGATGTCTGGGTGAGTTCTTTCAGGTCTATTCTCGAAACAATACTGTGCGGTCAGTGACCCCCAGAGTCCTGTGAAGACGTTTGTGGCGGAACAGACCTCGCCACGTGTTCATGGAGGGGGCTGCTTGCCCGCCTCCTACCTTCTGACTATGGCCCTGGCATATATGGCATTTGAAAACGCTATTTGTGCCCATGGGCGTAGGAACCCCAAAAAATCTGGGGGGGATAGCATTTTTACTTGCCGGGTATATTCTTATTCCGTAAACTATGAGTTGGTTATTCCATTGCACAGCGCTACGGAATTTGCAGTTGCTATATAAATGATTAAATAATAACTTTAAAGGGTCACTACAGAGAAGGGATTTTACTTACCTGGATACAGCGCCGGGATCCTCCTGATGCTGCGCCCCCTATTTCGTCAAAATAACGAAATAGGAGGGTGCGAGCAGGGAGCAATAAAACGCTTCTATTCAGAAGCGTCATTGCTCTCTGGTGCACATGCGCAGCTTTGCCGCACATGCGCAGATACTTCATAGGGCGGCATTCATGTCTCGACTAGGAAGCACCTCTAGTGACCATCTGAGTGTCCACTGGAGGTATTCCTCATCAGTAATGTAAATACTGCCTTTTTACAAAATGGCTGTGCTTACATTAAAAAGCCTGCAAAGACATGCTATAGACACCAGAACTACTACGTTTAGCTGTTGTGGTTCTGGTGACTATAGTGTCCCTTGAATATAGAGAGGAAAAAAGAATCATCACAAATGTAAGAAATAAAATGTCTGTATCATTATTCTAAAAATTATTTAAAAAAAATAAAAAAATATGCACATTCCTAGCTTAATTTTTAGCACGACATATGACACAAACATTTTGTACTTTGCAGATTACTTTTTATATTTTTTTATACATATACAGATTGTGTAATACTGCCCCTGATTTAGGGTGACCACATTTCCTAACTGCCATTCAGTGACACTTTCAGAAATGCATTCCATACATTTTACTACCCGTCTCTACCCCTTCCATTTATATTAAAACCCCTTTCCATGTAAATTAGAGATTAGTGCCACAAATAATATGCTAGATTTCCTATTTATAACCAGATGAGGATGATGATGGGCTCTAGCTGCAGTCTGGCTCCACTGGTCTGGTGTAGAACAGGCTCTCTGGAGGCTGTTTGTAACTGTGGTCACAAAAATCAATGTTCTGGGAGAACGGGAAGCAGCTCCATTTTTTGGGGGCCCTTTACACAGCTCAAGGTCTGGGTCCCAGGGTCCACCTTCATGTTCCACCAATGAGTTTGTTCACAGGGGGTGGAGTGTGTAGGGGATGTCCTGATATGTGTGTAAGGAATGCATTGTGTGAATCTGTGTTTGTATGTGTAAGGGCTGCAAGGTGTGTTTCTGTGTATGTACGGGATGCAGTGTGTGCGTCTGTAAGGGGTGCATTGAGTGTGTGTACGGGGTGCATTTAGTGTGTGTAAGGAATGCATTGTGTGTTTCTGTGTATGTAAGGTTTGCATGATTGTGCGATTGTGTGTGTGTGTGTGATGGATGTCAATCTCTCTCCCTCCCTTGTCACTCTCTTTCTCCTCCTCCCTCCCTCCCTTGTCACTCTCTTTCTCCCCCTCCCTTGTCACTCTTTCTCTCTCTCCCTCCCTCCCTCCCTTGTCACTCTCTTTCTCTCCCTCCGCACTTTCTCCCTGTCACTCTTTCTCCCCCTCCCTCCCTTGTCAGTCTTTCTCCCCCTCCCTCATCACTCTTTCTCCCGCTCCCTTCCTCCCTTGTCACTCTCTTTCCCCCCCTCCCTCCTTGTCACTCTCTTTCTCCCCCCTCCCTCCCTTGTCACTCTTTCCCCCCCTCCCCCCCTACCTCAGTTGTAGCATGGCCGAGCCCAGTATAGTCTGCGGGTACAGGTAGCCCCGTGGGTGGTACTAATGTGTATATAAGAACAATAAACCCACAGCTCTGTCTGTTCCTGCTTGACCCTCAAAACGGAGCCTTGTCTCGTTCTTGGGGGGATTTATTGTATGCTGTTCCAGTTCGACTGCTAGGAGTGTAAACCTATTCGTATGGTTTTTCCTATTCGGCTGTTTACGGCATTCATATGGTTTCCTGTTCGGCGGATTGGTGTTCTGCAGTAGCTGTGCCTGTGTCTCTGGAAGGGAAGATCTACTAAACGGCGGTTTAACCCTTTTATGCTCGGGGTGCCGTTACACACAGCACATTGCAAGAGTACATGGATCTCTCTCAAGTCTGTGGTGTCATTCGATGCCTCTCCACCTCTTCTGTTAACCCTCCAAAAAGCGCCCTGATTGAGGAACCTGGGACCGAAAGCACTCTATTCACAGTTTTAGTGGATCGCAGTGACTCTGATCTGCTTTAGAGTACCACGCTGGTCAGGCACATTATGTCTCATTATTATGCTGGAAGACATGGGTTGGAGGGTTAGTCCGTATTGTTATAGTCTTTTTTAAGGAGGTGGGAGTATAGGGCGTCCGGCATTAATGACCAGAGGGTCCATCACAATAATATTCTAAATTATGCTAGCGGACAGTTACTAAATGTTGATTTTATTCACAGTGACAAATAAGTAGTAGAGGGAAAAACAGGTGTTAAAAAACCTTTATATATTATATATTTAGTAAATTTCTCATGTAATGAATGGGAGTGTTAGCTGTGTTGTAATGTGTTGATTGGTTGTTCTTCAAAACCCTGTGGGCTGTACTATGTTTGTAGAATGTGAATAAAAGAGGCTGTATGTGCCAGTACAGTCAGTTCTACTTCACCCTCAATTTAGAGTGCCGTCTCTTATTGGCGGAATCTGCTACAAGGGATTGCTATGCTTGTCATACTCCCTTGCTAAATCACTACTAAGCTCTTGTAAGAGCTTGTTCCTGTCCTGCTCTCTGAAGGAGTCCACAACTAGATCTCCTACTTCACCAAATTACTCAACCTTAACTAAACATTGCAAAATCTTAAGAACCTTAAATGACATCTTATGGCCTGTACAATATCTGGTGTGTGCTCCACCCTTTGGATAAAAAATACACCCACAATTCATTAGTGCACAATACATACTGCAGAACGGATGGATATCTTATGCATGAATCTTCCTTACTCCAAGTCCATGGGTGTGAAATAGGTACAACTGCATGGTCGGTCCACAATCCAGTCATTTTAACCTTAAAAAATAGCTATGATTACAAGAACAGAAGCCCTTGGCGCTTGAATGAGAGCCTCTTAACTGATTCAACATTTCTGCAACAATTAGAGACTGAATTGCTTCAATATTTTGCGGCAAACAACACACGAGATACAAATCCACACACACTGTGGTTAGCCCATAAGTGTGTGATACGAGGATCTCTCATACGCAGAGCCTTATTCCTAAACTTATGTTTTAATAACACATAATCACAGACCTACACACACACACTCAATCACAGACCTATACACACAATCATAGACCTATTTGCACAATCACAAATACACATACACACACAATCACAGACTACACAAAAGCATATATTTACCTACCTATACACAGTCACATACATACACACATAATCCCAGATGCACACAAACATAATCACAGATCCACACATGTGATCACAGACCTATACACACAATCACAAATACACACACACACAATCACAGACCTAAATCTATACACACAACGTTGTATCTAGCGCGAGGCTAACAAGCCACTTGGGTGGCACTTTCAGAGGGGCGGCAAAAAAGTCACCCCCAATCACCCTGGTAGATGCCTTGCCAGCCTCTTGTCCTATGGATTCTGAGAGCTGGCAGGCTGGCAACCGCAGTGATGCCGGAGCTAGAATATGATGTCACTGAAAGGTGTGCAAGGGAGCTGAACAGGAGGATCGGAGCTCCCTCACTGGCTCCAATATGAGTGCCTTCCCGACCACCAGATTGCACCCATGCCTGCCAGCCCGCCAGCAGCAGCCATACTGGACCCCAGGGAAGAATCCACTCCAGCACTCCCAAAGGTAGGAATGCTGGGTGGATTGAAATTTATTTTTTAATTGGGAGTGTGTTAGTGTGTGTGTCTGTTAGTGAGTGTTATTGTGTCGGTTAGTGTGTGTCAGTGAGCGTCTATACGTCTTTGTCAGTAAGTGTGTATCTGTCACTAAGAGTGTGTGTCCGTCAGTGTGTGTGTATGCGTGTGTCTGTGTGTATCCATGTCTGTCAGTATGTAAGTACATGTCTGTCAGTGAGAGTATCTGTAAGTGTGTATGTATGTCTGTCAATCAATGTGTGTGTCTGACACTGAGTGTATATATGTCTGTCACTGAGTATTGTATATGTGTGCTTGTCAGTGTGTATCTGTCAGTGAGTACATGTGTGTTCCAGTGTGTGTGTCTGCCTAGGGCAGCACAAAACCAGGATACGCCACTGCACCCACATACAATCAATATAATTACAAACCTAGACACACATACAATCACAAACCTGCTGCTGGGCTGGGTTCTCTGGGCTCATCCTGCACAGGTCTCTCACGCACCCAACAGTGATACCGATGCCAGGATAATGTCATATCCCGTTGGCCGGCTCACTGCAGGGCGCAGGAGGGAGCATGATATGTGCTCCCTCGCCTCAATTCAGCACAAACAGCAGCAGGGTCGCACTGCTAGCGTTCCAGAGCCGCATGCTGCCCCTGGGCCGTGGGTTGGACGCCCCTGTTGTAGGCACCTTCCATTTACCTTTCTTTACAAAGTATAGGAGTTGGTTTGGGACTTGGAATCAGTTCCCAGGCACCTGTTTTCATGTACATAGGAGCGGCTTTCTTATTGTCCTCCCAAAAGTACCAGCTCCACTATCAGTTCATCTTACCTCTGCTTCAACCATGATTCCTATGTTATTGTATGTATTGGGGCTAATGTGTACTATAGTCATTGCTGCCGATCAGGAATAGTGGGAGTTTGAGAGCAGGACTTTAAAAAAAGGTTTATAAAAATGTAAAATCGCTAAAAAAGTTTTAAGAAAGTTTAGGAAACTTTAAAAAAATTAAATAAGCAAAAAAAATAAAAAAAATTAAATTCGAGTTTTAAAAAGGTAAAAAAAATACATTTAAAAAGCTCATTACCACTACACCTGGAACCAACTAGAGTGGTAAAAAATGATTCCAAGCTAAGGTTCAAAATATGCCAAAATGGGACATGGACACAACGTAAAAATTCAAAGTTTGAAAAAAAAAAAAAAAACTGGAATGACTGTCTCAAATGTGCCCCTTCCATGTCCACATATACCTGGCAAAGGTACATATGGGGGTATTGCTGTACTCAGACAACATAGCTGAGCAACATATGAAGTATTATACAGTTGTAGCACACATACAATTTGCAAAATATACTGTGCAAACTCACTTTGTGTGTCAAAAAGGCAGAAAATATGCTTATTACCACTACACTTGGTACAAGCTAGCGGGAAAATTATCCCACACTAAGGATCATAATATATCTTTTGAAATACCTTGGGATGTCTTCTTTAAGAAATGGTATGCCTTTATGGGGTAGTTGGAATATGTAGCCTGCTCAAGTGCTCTAAAGTGGGACACATGGACACATCAAAACCCTGCATGAAAATTAACACTTAAAAACCTGAACTTGTCACGTCTCTTTTACAGCACTGTAACTTCACAAAATAGTGTCTAGGTCATACATTGGGCATATTGTTTTACTCAGAAGATGTAACTGAGCATAATTTGTGGATTTTTATGACAGTGGCACATATAATGTGTAAGAAATACTCAGCAAAAATGCAACATATATGTAAAAATTCTATTTTTTTCCCCCCTCACCACAAACATTGACATAAATTGGTAAATAATTGGTGACAAGTTAAAGCACAATATACACCATATAAGTTACCCTGGGGTGCCTGCTTTATCAAATGAAAGCCCTTTGTGGGGGTTATTTGAACAGTCACATTGCTATAATACCCTAAAATAAGACATAGGCCCGTCAAATCCATCTACAAAAATTCTAACTATAGAAACTGAAATAGCCTTATCTCTTATATGGTATTGTAGCTTTACAGAAAAGTGCCAAAGGCATACAATGGCGTTATCGTTATACTCAGCAGATGTAGCTGAACACAATGTGCAGGAATAGCACACACCAGCTTTACGAAATATACATTACAAAAACCTTGTTACATGTGTATATGCCAAAATAAAAAAAAACACAATTTTACTCCAATATTTAGCAGAGATTGGCGATGAAATGGCTACGAAAAAAGTGTCAAAATAACCTTACGTAAATAGCCTTTAATGTCTACTTTATATAAATATATACTTTTGTGTGGCATTTTTTTTCTGTGATGGCTACTAAACCTACAAGACAGACATACTAACTTCTAAAGTTTTTGCAAATGGAAATTTTATTTAAGCCCTTGTATTTTGTGACCTGTAACTTTCAAAATAAGCTGAAATCCTATACATATGATGTACTCTATAAATCAATTACTTTTTCTAAGCTGGACATATTATGCACACGCCATTATTACCAAAACTTAAAAAAACATGAAAAAATGTTGTTGTGTCCCCACCCCTATTTTATGGCATTGTTTTTATTTACAATTAATGAGAATGTATCTATCTATCAAATTAAAGCCCTGTTTGCCCTCTAAAAAAACTATATAATATGTGTTGGTGCAATAAATGACAGAGATGCAAATTGAGTTTGAACACAAACAGCAAAAAATGCAAAAATGGCTTCTGTCCTTAACAGTAAGACAAGCTTCTGAAGCTGTGTCCTTAACCCCCTAAGGATACATGACATGTATGACATGTCATGATTCCCTTTTATTCCAGAAGTTTGGTCCTTAAGGGGTTAAGGGTTTATAAGTGTGTAGGGTGTGTGTTTAGGAAAGAAAATACCCATTGTCTCTCTCATTGGAAATTTATACCTGTTGGCAGAAGACAGCAAGGTGAATTGTTAGTGTAGAACTTACACTACGTTTGTCTTGACATGGCAGGTGAGCTTACACTTTAATGGCCATTGGAGAAATACTTAAAAATTTCCAGCTATTGAAATGTACATAGGGATTTGGGATAGTGCGAAAGTAACTTATCTTTTTTTCTTTTATATATTGGGGCTGATGTGTATTTGCTTTGCATTGCGGCTGTGATGGTAGTCACCGTCACCAGGAGCTTAAGATGGACAATTCAATTAGGTCTCTGGATGACTCTTATGTTTAAGTCACCCTGTGCCCATTGTGGGTGCAGGGTGTGTATAATGTGGTTGTTTATGGTTAAATGTTTTTATGCTCTCCTGTTCTTCTAATGAACTAGACAGTATTGTGGGGAATAAGTGCAGTATTGTGGGGAATGGGAGCAGTATTGGAGGGGTAGGGGCAGTATTGTGAAGGGATGGGATCGTATTATGGAGGGTAGTGTCAGTACTTGTGAGGGGTAGTGCAGTATTTTCGGGGGATAGTTGCAGTATTGTGGGGAATAGGGACAGTATTGTAGGAGATAGGGGCAGTATTGTGGGGGAGTGGGCCTTAGACATAAACACATACACACACACAAAGGTTTTTTGTTTAAAATCCATCTAGTCTCCCTACCTTCAGGAGTACTAGAGTGGATCCACAGCCTGGGGTCCAGTGGACTGCCGCTGTGCTCCTCTGAGGTAGCTATATCAGCATTGCCTGTATGTGCTACATTGGTGCCTGGGCCAGAGTGAAATCACATTCCAGGCTCCCAGGACCTCTACAAAGCATGCAAGGGAGCTGTACAGCCAATGCAGTTATAGATTGTAGCTTCCTCGCTGGCCCCCCTCCCACTAAAAAGACTCTCGGCAGCCAAGGTACTAATTCTTGGCCAAGCTACAAGAAATGGCCAGCAGGAGCAGAGCACTATGCTTGTCCCTCCTGCCGTTTACCTGGACATTTGTGCTCCCAGGGCTCATGGGCCCTGAGGCATCTGCCTGTGCAGCCTTTTGGTAGCGCCGGCCCTGGTAGTTGGACTAAAACATTAAGTATATGCAAATGCACGTCTGTTTAAAATAAATATGCTATGTTGTTTATTTTGAAGCCCTATGAGTGTTTTCTTTCACGTTGTAGTAATAATTTTCAGCTGGAATCTTTTCCTCCTCTATATTTAAACACTATACTGGTGCAAAGCATTATTGGACTGGTATAAAAAAAAAAAAAATTCCAGTGCTGCTTTTTATTCCCAGTCCGACTTTAAGTGGGACCAATGTAAGTTTGCAAAAATTGGTTTGACAAATTACACTGGTATAGTGCCAGCACACTCTTGACACCATAACTACTACAACAGGCTGCAGTTGTTATGGTGGGTGGAGTGTTTCTTTAACAGTTCATTGGCAACTATTATGTTAATAATGATCAAATATGGGATTGCAAAATTCCTATCTATTAAGTAGACCATTAAGAACTTATTTTAATACGTTGTGATTAGTATAAAATACATATTGCTTAAAGTACGCATTAGGTGAAATAATGCTTACTCTGGGTTCCGGAGATATTAATAAATGCTTTCACCATCGGTTGCATTGTTTATTATGTCTTAAGAACTTGTGCATCTTGTATTATGTCCTAAGAGCACATGTATCTTTCTAAAAAGATGAATGATTATTAACAGTTGAAAATTTACAGCTAGAATAATATTCTAAATCCAAACACCCAATGTCCTTGACTGTTCTTTTGTTTCTAGTTACACATTCTTCATGTGATTTTCAAGGATTTGGCCTGCTTTGAACTGTAAGAGCTGAGTGAACTGCAGTTTAAAGTGTCACAATCTAAATCAATGTATTAGTTTAAAAGAACAAGGGGGTTATTTAACATAATGGCAAGATGTGGTAAGTTGGCAAACCACTTGATTTTTTTTTAAACAGTTTTTGAAGGATGTATATGAATTACACTGGATTGTCCATAAAAATCACTTCTGGCAGTATGTACAGTATGTGCTGCAGGAGTGTTTTCCATGCACAACCCTACAGCTTGGAGCAATACGGTATTCTGTAGAAACATAAATCTTTTACAATCCTTGTAGATAGACCAGGGCGTTGCAGTGGATGTGATCTACTTGGAATTTGCCAATGTATTTGATACGGTTCCTCATAATAGGTTAGTCTTCAAACTAAAAGAAATTGGTCTAGATTAAAATTCTTGTTCTTGAGTAGAAAACTGGCTTAAGGATAGAGTACAGCTAGTTGTCATTAATGGTAAATTTTCAAGCTGGACAAAAGTGGTACGTGGTGTCAGTATATTCGGGGGCCAGTACAAACCATTATCTGGAAATCTATTTATAAACAGGGCTATACATAGGACACGAGGTCACGCATTAAGGCTGGAAGAAAGGAGATTTAATCTAAGGTAAAGGAAATGTTTTTTTACAGTAAGAACTATAAGGATATGGAATTCTCTGCCTGAAGACGTGGTTTTATCAGAGTCCATACAGATGTTTAAACAGCAACATAACATACAGGGATATAATTTCTAATTAGTGGGGTAATAGCTGCTTGATCCAAGGAGATATCTGACTGCCATTTTGGGGTCAAGAAGGATTTTTTTCCTAGTTTGTTGCAAAATTGGAAGTGCTTCAGCTCGGTTTTTTGCCTTCTTTTGGATCAACAGCAAAAACATATGTGAGGAAGGCTGAACTTGGATGCAAGTCTTTTTTTCAGCTATGTAACTATGTAACCTTTAAGCAAAGAGATTGAGGCACTTTTGAGGCTATTTAACATGGAAACCATTAAATGGTCTCTCCAGCCTGGAACTGACCCCCTTTTTAAATAATGCATCATATAGACAAGTTCAGCCCATAATATAGGCTGAAAATAACACAGTGCACTTTAGGTATTTGATCCCCAACCATTCCCCACTCTTCGATACATCATCTTCCAACCCTCCTCTCTCTAAATGAACCCTTCCTTTCATCCAGCATTCAATTTTTGTGTTTCTCTATTGCTCTTATTTGTGTACATCTCCATTTCTCCCTGTGTTGTGTGTCTGTTCATCTCAACCATACTTGGGTGTATTTCTTGCCACTACTATTTATTTTGTGTGCCTCTTCATGTTTTGTGTTTGTTTTGCCATCTCCCTGACTTTCATGTTTCTGTCCCCTCCTTAAAGGAACACTATAGGGCCAGGAACACAAACATGTAAACACTGCCTTTGCTCTGAAAAAACAGTGATTACTGCAAAAAGCCTGAAGGGACTGATTATACTCCCAGAAGCTGTAGTTGTTCTGGTGACTATAGTGTCCCTTTAAAGGACCACTATAGGCACCCACACCACTTTAGCTCAATGAAGTGGTCTGGGTGCCAGGTCCCTCTAGTTTTAACCCCGCAGCTAAAAAAATAGCAGGTTCAGAGAAACTGCTATGTTTCACTGAGGGATAATCCAGCCTCTCACTGACAGCCGCAAGAGGCGCTTCCGCGATTCTCACTGTGGAAATCACTGTGATAAGAGGCTGGACGTCCACAGGAAAGCATTGAGTAATGTTTCCTATGGGCGGTTTGAATGCGCATGCGCATGTCTTTGACACAAACGTGTATGCATCAAGGACGTGCACACACGTTTTGGCACCATAGGGGCAATTCTGACCAATCCCTGTCATCCTAGGGCTAGTTAAACCCATTTTTTATTTTCTTCTCTGCCCTGTCGTGGTTTCCTTTCACAGGTAATCAGAGAGTGTGATTATTTTTAATATCTTTTTGGCTATTCTGACCTTGGCTTGTTATTGATTATTCTTCTTTCTGTAATCCGTGACCTATTGGCCAGTCTTCGCGTAGTCGTCTCATTCTGTAACAGTGACCTTGGCTTGTCTCTGACCATTCTATATTTACAATAAGTCCAGCCACTCTAAGACCCGGTAATACGTATATTTCACAAGAGTTTAATTTAACCTGTGTTTTACTTAGCCACTGGGTTGGGTCATACTATTTCCTGACAATAATTCCATTTAGAAAGGAAAATAGAAAGGAAAAGGGAAGCATGCTCCTATTTCTTATTAAGCCTGTCGTTATTGCATTTAGTGAATGCAGGCAAGCTGACAATCGCTAGACACAAGCAGTAACAGGGCATGGCCTGAGCTCTTTTCCTATATAAGGAGAAAAAGCTGATTGGGAAAATTTCCCCTATTAAATACAACTGACAGAAAGATGACTCAACAGGACAAACCAACAGCTCTGCTTTTTTCCTGTTGTACTATAAGATTTATATATTGAAAATGCATACATAGACCCAGGATACGCTGGTCAGTAAGTGCCGTTTCCTCTGGGTAAAGCCCATTGTGTTCCAAGGGATGTTGATGTAAAACGTGCTTTAGAAAAATTGCGACAGAAACAGTTGTGTTTTTTTTTTTTTTTTTTGCCCAGTGATGCTTTTAAACACACTGCAGTGGACACAGTATTTTTGGAGATTATTCTTAAACTGTGAACTGGTGATATTTAAAGCGGCACTGTCACTTTAGAGTATTTCATAAAGATATGGGGCTTGTTTTCAAGCTGTTAATTTCGAAGACAAAGTATTTAGTAACAGCTTATAATTACCAATTGGTTCTGATCTTGTTGCTTTTTTTTTTTATCAGTAGACCCTTAATGACTGGACAAAGTTACCAGCCACTCACAGATTAGTCACTGGTCACTGGTAAAGTACAGAAACACATGCTCTAAGATTTGTCACCATAGCAACTACACCTTGCTGGCAAAAAAGAGCATGAATACTTCACCCTGTGATTTGCTTTAGCAGGAGTTAGCAACAGTGTATACAATGTATTAAACAGTGATTTTTATGCTATGCTAGATACATATCCATGTGCGTTTTCAGGTTTTTTTCTGCTATAGGACTTGTACATTTAACCCCTTAAGGAATAAAAGGGAATCATGACATGTCACACATATCATGTGTCCTTAAGGGGTTAAAAGACACTTGCACTTTAGTATCAGAAATAATTTTATGTTTATATCATGTCTCTGGCCTTTACTTTATTATCATTGCTGTTTGATATTGTTTAAAATGCTCTGATTTGCTAATATGTATGTTAATATAGAAATTTGGGGGAGTTAGTTGTTGTCAACTTCTTTGCACCAATTGTCACCTATAAACATTTTAAAAAAAATAAAATAATCCTTTCATCAAGTTTTGAAAGGAAATTTATTTTTATTTTTAAATGAAGTATATAAAAAAAAAATATAATAAGAAAATGCTACCTTTAGTATATGAAAGGTTCCTTCAGCCATGTATATGCACCTTGGATAGGTCAGTGTTTGAGCGCAAACAGTTAGCCTCTATTATGATCTTCCCTGCTTCGCATAAACAGGGAAAACTATACAGTAAAAACCAAAGAAAAAGTTACCTGCGCTCTCTCCTAAATCCCTATGTATAGTTAAACAAATGGAGGTCATTTAGTTACTCCAATGGCCATTGGAGGGAATGCCCGCCTTCCAGCGTCTAGGCAGACCCCCCTAGGCGGGTCCTACACTGACCTTTTACCTTGCTTCCTTTAGGTTCTGGCAAAGATATCTCTAATGAGACAAAGAGGGGTATTTTTTTATATACACCCCCATATACTTATAAACCCTTAATAGGGAACACATGGGATGGGCGGCAGCATTGTAACAAAGCTGTGTGATACAAAAAGTGAATAGAAATATAAAAAGATAAGTTCTGCGCTCATTCCCGTCCAGGAATCTTTTGTATTTGTATTTACTTTTTGTATCACACAGCTATGTTACAATGCTGCCGCCCATCCCATATGTTCCCTATTAAGGGTTAATAAGAATATAGGGGAGTATATAAAAAATACCTCTCTCTGTCTCATTAGAGATATCTTTGTCAGAAGCTCAAGGAAGCAAGGTGAAAGGTCAGTGTAGGACCCGCCTAGACGCTGGAAGGCGGGCATTCCCTCCAATGGCCATTGGAGTAACTAAATGACCTCCATTTGTCTAAATATACATAGGGATTAAGGAGAGGGCGCAGGTAACATTTTCTTTAGTTTTTACTGTATGTATTGGGGCTGATGTGTACTGTGGTCGTTGCTGCCGCCCAGGAGTGATGGGAGTGAGTGCAGGACTTATCTTTTTGTATTTGTATTCACTTTTGTATCACACAGCTATGTTACAATGCTGCTGCCCATCCCATCAGAGTGAGTCTGCAGCAATAGTCCTAATGCATTCGCTGTCCAGATTAAAATGAGTGCTCTCTCGTCAAAATCCGATACAAAGTATAGAATTCGGAACATTCACAAAGCACTGGTTTTAATAAGTTTCAGCAGCAAATTTGTAAGGCAGGCTGCAAATTCGCAAATTATCGTTCATTTGTTTTCATGCAAGTGAACAATAATAGTAAATACTATTTGCCCACTGGAAGTGCTATCATTCAGCAGTCAAATAGTTAAAAAAAACCTTAGCAATGAGTGGATTATTTATGTTGGCGAGAGCTCAATTATACCCCAATATATCCTATACCATATAAGGGTGGTCTAAAATATCCGTATGTCCTCAAAAGTCATAAAGCTGCTAAATATCTGCCATTGCTGCCCAGTCGCTAGAAAGACTTCATCCCAAAGGGTTGTTGTCTCAAATAATGGGGTGAGGCATAGTGGGCTTAATTTAAAAAAATAATGGGGATTGGCCAGTGTGTGGAGGCTATTGTAAAAAAAGAGAGGGACCTTGTGTCAGCCAATGCCCACAGTGCTGATGCTAGACCATTTTGTGCTCTATGCAACTACTTGCACCATCTCCTCCCTTCCCCATAATAACCCTCTGTGTGTTTCTTTTTCCCCCCCAGCCCCTCTGTGTGTCTTTGTCCCACCCAGTTCTCTGTGTCACTTTGTCCCACCAGCTTCTCTGTTTGTTTCTTTGTCCTGCCAGCCCCCATGTGTATCTCTTTGTTCCACCAGTCCTCTGTGTATTTTTTCATCCCCACAGGTCTTCTGTGTGCATCTTTGCCTGCCCAGCCCCTCTGTGTGTCTTTTTGTCCCCACAGCAATTATTTGTGTCTCGTTGTCCCCCTCAGTCGTCTGTGGGCCTTTTTGTCCCTCCCTAGCCCCTCTGTGTGTCTATTTGCCCCCCCCATCCCAGCCGCTGTGTGTGTCTTTGTATCCCTCAGCTGTTCAGTGTGCCTCTTTGTGTCCTCTCAACCCCTCTGTGTGTTTTTTGACCAGACCTCTGTGGGTCTTTGTCCCCTAAGTCCCTGGGTGTGTCTGTCCTCCCCAGCCCCTCTGTCACAGTATTTTACCTTCATACTTCATACCCACGTGGAGTTGGATCTAATGCCTGCTCCACTCTCATGCCCCACACCGGACGCTGGAATCACGCCCCTTTTCATGACACGGCGCATATGCGCCGACTTCATGACGTCAATGACGTGACCCCGCGTCATCAATACTGGGCCAGAACGTTTTGGGGACGTGGTTTTAAAGCAAAAGATGCTCCCTTATAAAAGGGGCGCCTTTTGCTTTGTTCCTTGCCCTATTGTGGTTCCTTGAGTTCCCTTTAGTGCTATTTGGTTCTCCTTGCAGCTGTATTTGCTTTTCCTGTGTACTGACTCGGCTTGGCTTTTGACTTTCCTGTTTCCTGGTTCCTTGACTCGGCTTGTATTTTGACCTCCTGATTTGTGGTATCCTGACCCGGTTATTGTTGTATCGTTCTCCTGATCTCTGGTATCCTGACTGTTAGCTATTTTTCGACTACTCTTTTTTACTAACGTCAACCCGACCACTCTAAGGTTCGGTAATACGTGTTTGGGTTTTCTGTGGGTTAACATACTGCGTGTTGGGTTACCACACGACCGTGATACCCTCTATGTGTCTCTTTGTTATCGTCCACAGCCCTTGTATGTCTCTATGTGTATTTGTCGCCCCAACCTGTGTCTCTCTTTTACCTCCAGCCCCTCTGTTAGTCTCTCTATCATCTCAGCGTCTCTTTTTCCACTCAGCTCCTCTGTATTTCTCTTTGTCCTCCCTGCGCACTTTTTGTCCCTTTGTTCCCCTCCCCCCATCCCTCTGTGTGTCTCTTTGTTCCCCACCCCCTAGCCCTCGGTGTTTTTGTATCTTCATGTAGCATGGCCAGCGGACCATGGTGGAGGATCTTCTGTTTCCTCTGCGCAGTCTGGCAGGAAGCTGTTCGGTGCTCTCAGAGCTTACAGAAGATCCTCTACTGTGGTCCGCTCGGTAGCAGTGACCGGCAGCAGGGCTGTGCAGTGCACTCCCCTCTTGCATGTAACATGGAGACAGCACTAACCTAGCTTTAGGTCTTCCCCCTCTTTAAGGCCCACACCTGCAGTCTATAGGTGGGAGCCAGAGGGAGGACATTAGTTCTTCATACCAGAATACTATCAGGGCACCCACCTGTCACTCATGGACATTGGGTCCTTCCTCGTGAATGTTATTCTTAGGACCTCCACCCCCTGCCAATGGGTGTGGTCTAGAGGGAAAAATAGATCCTATCCTTATATTTTAATAGCTTCCACTCACTGACCACAGGTGTGAGAAGGAAGATGGACAGTAATCTGTCCACCCCCATTATTCTTCACTGTCCCTCACTTGATGCCCTACCAGACAGCCACTAGATGCGCTTCCGGAGGTTTACTTGAGTCTAGGTTGCCTAAATGACACTCAACGTCCTCACACTATGCATGAGGACTTCCAGCGTTAATGAAATCCCCATAGGAAAGCACTGAGTCAATGCTTTACTATGGAGAGGGTCTAATTGGCTCACAGCGCTTGCCACATTAGGTTCCCCTGCTAAATGACATTGGTGGAGTGCTGACCCAGAGATGATTTCCTTCAGGTGAGTAAATAAAGGTTTTTTTAACCCTTTATGTGCAACAGGGAGGGTGGTGAAGGGGGTCGGGGGGCAGGGGGGAGAGGCATGAGGGAGAGGTGGACCAGAGAGCACTATAGTGTTAGGAATCCCTAACTCACTATAGAATCCCTTTAAACCAGTGTCCTTAGACTTCAGGAGACAAATGTGCATTCCTTAACCTAAATAAGCATTCTAGACATGCTGTGGGCTGTAACTCCCATCACTCAGGCAGTTCATAGTTAAAAAGTGGATTTGAACTCCTAGCTCCTAGCTATGCCTTAATAGTAAGAACCACCTCTAACTCTAAATATTTTTTAATCCTAACCCCTTAACTCTTAACCACAATCTTAAAAACAGAACCCTTACAAACAGCGATATATTGACTCTGTAACCTTATGACTGCAGCACAACTACATTGCAAAAATGATGCTCAATATTTGAGCTCAGTGTTAGATAGTATTTCCTTGCATGCAGTTACTACACATGTGTAGTCTGTTTATAAGTTGGATAGGTGTAGACACATAAAACATCTGCATGCAAGGGGGCTTTTTCTTTAGCATGCAGCATTAAATATATCTTTCAGCACTGTTTTTATAATAATATGGAAATAGGAATCCGCTTCAAACTTACTAATGGCCATTTCTGAGCAAGATTGCACCATAATCATAATTTATTAAAGGCCATTTCTAAGCATGATTGCACAGTAATCATGAAAGCACCCTCAGAAACACCTCTCAGAGGTCATTATGGCAAAATGAAAAAGCCCTTCTTCACAATGATAAAGGCATATGATCACACATAATTTTTAATAAAAACTTTACATAGAGATACTTTTTGAATATCTACATGATCCCAAGTGGTTCATTTTGCATTTGTACATATCATCATCTTATTTCAATTCTTTAGTATAATTAATATTTAATTTTTTTTTTTTTTAACTAATTGCTCATTACATGGAGTTTTATTTTAAAATCATAAAACAACCGTATTTGGTTCTGAGAGCTTCATACACTTGCATTTAAAATAACATTTTATGTTCGAATGCATGTGAGTAATTGAGATGTAATCAGTGCTGAATTGATGGTATTTGGGGCACTGATAGTAGCATAGGGGTTTATACACTAACAATGAATTGTTGCGAGTTAAAAACTGAATTTGTGAGCCAAAACAACAAAGTTCCCAAACTGGTTAATTTGGGCCTCAAATCTTCAAATTCAATTTTAATTCACCCCTGCTTACTGCCAAGGAAATAATCACATTCAATTGTTATTCATTATACTAGTAAAGGGATACTCTAAGCACCAAAACCACTACATATGTATGTAGTGGTTTTGGTGTAGTGATGCAGACCCTTTGTCTGACAATGCAATAAATTGCTATTTCTGAAAAAAAGCAAATGTTTACATTTAGCCCAAAACATTTCTCTAGGGGCTTTCAAACAGCCACTAGAGGCACTTTCTCCTTAAGACCTTTGATTTTTGAAAGCTCTCCATGTTCAACATTATCACGCACAGCATAAAGATGCCAAACACTGCTAATGCTTCTCATAGAGAAGCAATAGACACCGTTGCTTCTACATGAGAAGTAATGGATTGGCATAGTGCGACAACTGCGTTTGAGCCATAGGTTCCGCAATGCTTCTCTATTAGAAGCATTGGAATGCACCAGGGACGATCTTACTGTGGTCAGATCGAGTTGCCGCATGGAGACTGTCCCTGTGTTGGATGACAGGTCAGTCCAACACTTCAATGTCTTTTTATAACAAAGGAGAGCCAATCATTTAAAATAAAAAAGAACACTCTCATGTCAAAAATATGTATTTTTTACAGTTAGAGTGTTCATTTAACGCTACAAAATGGAATTGCAGCTTTTATGCTAAAATATAATTGGTGAGATAGCTTTTTTCTAATCCCACCATTCTCACCTTAATTTGCATATCCAATGAGAATTATTGATAGTTCTTGGTTTAGTAAATAATTATGACAGTGATTTATGACCAATCCTATTGAAAATTTTACATAGTTTTTGCAGTTTGGGCCCTTCAGTTATGCTTACAACATACTTGTGTGCAAGTACACAATCACAAATTTGCCCCTACGATGTATGGTATTGGGAGTTATTCCCTACACCGGAAATTGTAAAGAATTGGCCAGGGAATTGCAAATAGGCTAAAATGTATAAATATGATCCGATTCAGCTGGTTTTGTATAAATTCTACTGTCAATTCTCCAAAATCTTGGTTTAGTCAGCAATCCCATTAATGTAGCATTTACAGCCAGTCTGGGTACAATTAGCATAGTGTATACAGTCAGTCTGCTTACAGCAAGCGTAATGCATACAATCAGTCTGCTTGCAGTAAGAATAGTGTATATGTTTTGTCTTTGAACAGGTATATTTATGTATATAGTTGATCTGCTTGCAGGCAATGTAGTGCATACTGTCAGGTTCACGTTGCAGGCACTGTAGTGTACAATGTCAGTTTTTGCTTGTATGCTGCATAGCCTATACTGTCACTAATGTCTTGCAGGCAGTGTAGTGTACATCGTCAAATACCTCTTGAAGACAGTGAAGTATATATTGTCAGATAACACTTGCAGGCAGTATTGTGTATATTATCAGTCTCCCATTATGAACACTGACGTGTACACTGTCAATTTCTACTTACAGGCAGTGTGGTATATATTGTCACTTTCTACTTGCAGACATTGTAGTGAACATTGTCATATCTGCTTGCAAGCACTTTAGCACATACTGTCTGACCCTTCTTGTAGACAGTGTTATGTATACTGTCAGTTGTATATGGGTGGTATAGTATACTGTAAATTTTTGTTAAATATGGTTAGTGTATGCTGACAGTCTCCTGTATCAGGCAATGTAGTGTAAAATGAATCTCCCCTTTTAGTCGGTGTAATGCACTGCCTATTTCACTATACACAGTATAGTGTACACTGCCAGATTCTGCTTACAGACAGTGTGGTGTCATTGGTCAGTCTCTGCTTGCAGTTAGTGTTATGTACATGATCAGACTCTTCAGACCAGTCTTTGCAACCAGGCAGTGTAGTGCATACAGTCAGTCCCTGCTTGCAGGCAGTGTAATGTAAGTAGTGTAGTGTAGTGTACATGGACAGTCTCTGTTGCAGGCAGAGTATTGTATAGTGGCAATCTATGCACTCATGCAATTCAGTGCACAAAATAGTTTGCAATACACGCAGGCAGCTTCAGCACAGTCAGCCAGTCTAGGGTCTCTGTATTTCCTGTGTTACTATTAATAAGCATGAATACAAAAACTAAACAATAGAGAAAGGAAAAGGGTGTGACAATTATGTGTATGACAGTAAGACGAGTATGTAGGTGACACTTTATCTTTATGACGTACGTGTGGTTTTAAGTAATCTGAATCAAAGTCTGTCTAACACATTCATAAATTTCCAAATATATATTTATTTGACTATGTTTAATAGGTGCCGAGGCTGAGCTCTCTCACCAACATATACAACTTGTATATACAGATAGTGAATGAGTGCAGGGACTCGGATATCCCTCACTTTACTATATACAATGAGTAGTGAATGGGACAGAGACTAAGTCATCTCTCACTTGTATATATACAGTTGGGATTATTTGGGGGAGGTCTAAGCTACCTCTCGCCTGTATATATACAAATCAATGATTGGGGAAGAGAATAGGCTCTTGTTATATACATAGGGGTTAGTGGGACAGAGACTGACCTATTTCTCACCTGTGTACATACTAAAAGTAATAAGAGGTGTGGAACTTTAAAGTCCTTCACTATCTTCACTTTAATATTTACAGAGATGAGTGAAAGGTAAGGATACTGAGCTATCTTCTTGGTGTGTGTATAATTGTGTGTGTGTGTGTGTGTGTATGTGTGTGTGTATATATAAATATATATATATATATATGTGTATATATATATATACATATTTAAATTGTGAGATGGGGTGAGTTTAATGAACAAGAAAAAAGTGGGAAAAGACTGTTGAGTGAATGCATTTTCCAAGTGTGTGAGAGTGTGAATATATATATATATATGCATTAGGAAACATAAGGAAGAGTTATGAGATTCCATTCTCAACCACCTGTTCTCCCCCCACCCAAATCAGTAGCCAATGTCACCCTCTTCCCTCAATTTCAATTTTAAACAACAAACATTACACCCTCCCCTTAATTATATACATTCAACATTTTCAGAAACCCACCCCCTTTCAGTCATCAGGTGAGCAAACAACATGGAGCTGGTCTGGGCTCCCCACACTGCCCGTACTAGAGCTCCCATCTCCTAAGTCTCGTGGCCCACAAGGTAAAAGACTCAACTCTGATGAAGCCACAGGGCTTGCATGATGCCTTATAGGGGCACCATCTTCTTCCAGGGCAAGAAACACCTCAGATAAGCAGGAGTTTTCCCTTATGAGCTCTTCTTGACGCCTCTCGAGCTCAGAAAGCTTCTTAAGGTATCCGCCAAGGTCCTCCCTCAATACCTTGGCTGCATGATAACCAAATAGTTGCCATTCACTAGCCAGCTTCTTGCTCTTTAATCGATCATCATCCAAAAAGCAGCAGAGATCTTTCAGTTCCCTGTTTTCTTCCTGAAGTCGATGGTTGACCTGTTTTAGCTCCCGTATTTCTGTTAGATGGCCTTGAAGCTGGCGGTTCACCTCTTTAATAAGGCGACCTCTTTGAATGAGGGCAGCCATCTTCTCTGCCTCCTCTTCCCTAAGTTTCCTCACTAGATCCTCTTTACTGTGAGATAACATTTCCTCATCTGTCACCTTGGAAAGGTCCCGGCCTAGTAATCCGCTTTCCTCATTCATTTTGCAGTTTGCTTAGTAGGTAGGTGATTAACAATACAAGGCCTTTTTCCCACCCCTCAGGCCTGAAGACACAAACCAAGAATTAATATAATGTTTTTTATCACCAAAACCTTAGACAGATATGTGACAAGATACTAGTCCCAGACCAACAAAATGTATCATAACTGAAAATTTATAACAGTATACATGAATTAAATACTGTTTTTCTTCAGTTCTAGACTGTGAAGTCATAGACAAACTTAGCTAAAAATTGAAGGCGAGGCAATGTAAGATAAGGCCCAAAGTGTTTATAGTCCAAAATTTCCTGAGGTGGAACATAAATATGACTTTGAAGCACAAGTGTTCCAAGTACAATTTGGGAAGTTGAAATGGAATCCAATAACTATGTAGGTTCTGTTGGCTCTATTTGACTTGGTCAAGAGGAAATTCTTGTCAATTAGTCTTCTTTCATTATACCTCTCCGATTTTTCATTGAAAGACACATAAAGCTGTGAAACAAATGAAACAGTTGTAGAGCAGTTTTTAATATTATTATCCTGTTTTCCCTATTGATTTACACTGTGAAACTGCTGTGTAGAAAAACCTGAGAAGATATTGTGAACAGGCTCTGATAGTATCTCGACAACTTTTACCCTGATGTCGTAAGTTGGATTGCTCCACTTAGCTATGTTTCGGATTTTAAATTGCCTGCGGTTCACACCGTTTTAGAGGGTACACTTTCTTCATAAAAAGATACACTTGACTTACAAAATTTGGCACATAATGTTCACAACCCAGCTTGGATTTAGAACTGAAGATCTGTGATCTGTCCAGATCAAATTTCAACACCTTTAGTCCTCAAAGTTTGACTGATTTTCAGCTCAGTTTGGCCATATTTTCTTTGCCATTTGTGGATGTTCTTTACTCCAGACAGGTACAGAATCTATCTTGAGTTTACACTTTGACCTAAAACATTCCAGTGAATTCTAGGATTTCATCTCACGTGATTATGCAACAAATGTGATGTTTCCTTTGGTTTATCTGTCCTCAAAATAGACACATAGCTCTTCCCCTTCGTGTTTCTTCTGGTCATGGACAAGAAGTGGATGAGAAGGTGGAAATTCATATATCTGATTATGGTTCACGACCTGTGGGTTCAATGGAGGAAAATGGGCTTTATATTCATACATTTGTACATGAGGAAGGAGTGCAAAAAGAACATTGATAGCAATAATTTTATATGTACATATATATTTTATTTCTTTTTTTTTATGTGTGTGTGTGTGTGTGGTGAGTATATATATGTTGGCTATATATATATATTGGCTTGCATTGGCGAATAACTTTAAGACATGTCTAGTAGCATACGATTTCACATTTTGAGCCTTGTAAACACACACTCACCCATACACACACACATATTATATATGTGATATAGATACACAGATCAAGATGTGTGCAAATACATTAATTAAAACTCTAATGTAGATATGATTTTAAAAGGTATTGGTTGACATGATACAAATGAGAAAATTAAACAAATATATAAATATGGCAAAAAAACAAACAAACAACAATTGAAGGTAGAGGGGTTTGTGGGGGCTATAAACATGAGAGGGTAAGGAAACCAATGTTTAAAGTAAACACAAATCACTAAAATAATATTGTAAGCAGAGAAATGCATGAGAAACAGATATATGACAAAAAAACAGGTAAAGGATGTAAAATAGCTGAGAAAAATAAGACTGTAAAGGGGAGAGTTAGTGAATAAAACACACTGACTGGGGTTTCAGAAAAGGAGGAGAGGGAATATTGGTCGAGAAGGAATTGGAGATTTATGAAGAGAGAAAAAATGGTATAATGTGAGAAGGGTGTAGTAGAGCAGTCTATGCAGAAAGAGAGGAATGTACAAACAGAGCAACAGAAACGCGAGGATAGCGAAACAGAGGAATGTAAAATAGAATGATGGGGAAATTGGAGAATGTGATGGAGGCAAGGTGAGAGAAATGGAGATATACTGTACAAAGAGAAAGACAGATGCAGTGATGTGAGGAGGGAGGTAGACTGCAAAATGGGAAGAACGCGGGGGGGGGCAAGGAGAAATCGGCTGGCAAGGTACACGAAGGGATGGCATGGAAAAGGATGTTGAGAATAATAATTATAAAACATGTTAAATAAAAGGCAGACAGACGAGGATTGTAATATAAAAAGAGAGATATAGCTAACCTGCTCCTGAAGCTGATGGAGCGAGAGTGGGAGACAGAGAGCCGGGGGATGGGAAGCCAGGAGGGGGAGTAAAGGGAGGTGTGTGTCGTCAGAGACCGTGTGAGCTCAGGAAATCCTGTATAAGGCTTACACATTTACAATGTCTATTGTGTTTAAGGCTCTTTGTAGATGTTTGTGTGTGTACTTGTGTGTGTACAGTATATATATACACATACATGTATTGCAGGATCTGCGGGTGAAGGGAACAATGAATGCTTGGATATGGCTAAGGGCTGGCTGATAAATGGGTTGGCAGGTAGATCCCACTGACATACAATGTAACATCATACATGTAGTCATATACATAAACATACATACAGAAATTAGACTACAATTATATAGATTAACTTGTGAACATAATACTAGAATCTTATTTGTATATTGCAGCTTATTTTCCATTAACACAGTAAGTACCAAGAGGTGTAAAGTATTGGTTCCACAAATCTTTTTAAGTAATTTAAAGGGATCCTTAAGCACCATAACCACTTCAGCACACTATAGTGCAGGGCTCAAAATTTCCACTCACTGCTAGTGAAAATTCAGTACTCGCAGGTAGGAATTCACATCTGGTTAGTATGCCATGGATCCTCCAAGCTTGCACTGGCAAGTAACTTTTAAGGACTGACTAATAGCGTAGGCAGTATCTGATTTACTCTTCTTGCTGCCAGTTTTCTCAATGCGCCCCCACCTATATACAGTGTATATCCAGTAATGTATTTTAGTTAGGCGCTGCCCTAGGCATGACTAAACCTGGGCACCCCCCTAATCTAAATTTGCCTGACCCCTTCCTGTCAAGGCCACACCTCTTCCTCTTTAAACTACACCTTTTCCTACTAGTTTTAAAGGGAAACTATAGTGCCAGGGAAACAAACCTGTTTTCCTGGCACTATAGTTCCCTATAGTGCCCTCCTCGGCACTGAAGGGGTTAAAACCCCTTTGGTCACTTACCTGAATCCAGCACCGATGTCCCTCGGTGCTGGGTTAAGCTCCTCCTCTGCGCTAGCCTTAGGCTTCCCTATAGGAAAGCATCGTATCAATTCTTTCCTATGGGGATTTAGCAGACGCCTGATGTCCTCATGCATAGCGTGAGGACGTCCAGCATCAGTTAGGCGACATTTGGTCGCCTAACTACCCTGAAGTCTCTCTAGTGGCAGGGTTAAAGTGATTGGAACACTGCACCCAGACCACTTCACTGAGTTGAAGTGATCTGGGCTCCTATAGTGTACCTTTAAGTACACACTCTGACACACACATTCACTGACAGACACACACTGGCAGATACACACTGACAGTCAGACACACAATGACAAACACACAGACGTCACTGACAGTCAGACACACTAATTGACACACATTTATTGACAGACACACATTGGCAGATACACACTTACACCAGCGACATATTAGCCGCGAGGCAAACAAGGCATTTCCCTTGGGCGTCATTTTCCAGGGGGCGGCAAAAAAAAGCCACCCCCAAATGCCCAGGGCAAATGTCTTGTTAGCCTTGCGGCTAACAGTCCAGGCAGGCGGGCGGCTAAGCAAAAATCTGTGTGGGCGGCGCTGGCGAGGGATATCCTTCCCTTGAGCTCTCTGCTCAGCTCCTTGTGCACCGCAGAGTGATGCTGGGAGCCGGAATATGATGTCATATTCCGGCTCCTGGCATCACTCTGCGGCACGCGAGGGAGCTGAGCAGAGAGCTCAGGGGAAAGTGCTCCCTCGCCAGCGCCGCCCGCCAAGCAGCCACTGGACCCCCAAGGAAACGGAGAACCCTCCCAACATTCCCAAAGGTATGGAGGCTGGGAGGGTTGAATTTAAAAAAAAGTGTGTTAATGTGAGTGTGTGTTAATGTGAGTGTGTTTTAGTGTGAGTGTGTGTTAGTGTGTGTGTGTGTGTGTGTCTGTTAGTGAGTGTGTCTGTTAGTGAGTGTGTGTGTGTGTCTGTGTGAGTGTGTCAGTGAGTGTGTGTGTCTGTTAGTGAGTGTGTGTGTGTGTCTGTTAGTGAGTGTGTGTGTGTGTGTTAGTGAGTGAGTGTGTGTGTGTTAGTGAGTGAGTGTGTGTCTGTTAGTGTGTATGGGTGTCTGTCTGTCTGTTAGTGTGTGTGTGTCTGTTAGTCTGTGTGTGTTAGTGTGTGTGTGTTAGTGAGTGAGTGTCTGTTAGTCTGTGTGTGTGTTAGTGAGTGAGTGTCTGTTAGTGTGTGTGTGTTAGTGAGTGAGTGTCTGTTAATGTGCGTGTGTGTGTGTGTGTGTGTCTGTTAGTGAGTGTGTGTATGTCAGGGAGTGTGTCTGTTAGGGAGTGTGTTACTATGTGTGTGTCTGTTAGTGAGCATGTGTATGTCAGGGAGTGTGTCTGTTAGGGAGTGTGTTACTATGTGTGTGTATGTTAGTGAGTGTGTATGTCTGTTAGCTAGTGTATGCGTGTCTGTCAGTGAACGTGTGTATGTAAAAGGCGGGGCAGGGGGGATGAGTGGGGCGTCTGAGTTTTGTCATGCCTGGGGCAACACAAAACCAGAATACACCACTGACTTACACTCAATGACAAACACAGACTCACTGATTTGACACACACACATTCACTGACACACTCATTCATTGACAGACACACACGCACACTGACAGACACAGACTGACACTCATTGTCAGACACACTGATAGTCACACAATCAGAGACTCTCACTAATTTGACACACACACACAAACACACATGCATTAACAGACACACGCATGCACTAACAGACATACACACACATAGACAAACACACACACATATACACTCACATTTACACTCACAGACACACACATATACTCAGACATAAACACATACACTCACAGACACATACACAGACTCACAGACACACACATACACTCACAGACACACACTCAAGGACATACACACACACTCACATTTGCACTCACAGACACACACATATACTTTGATGTTTTATACAAATCAGACAATAATTCCTGAATAATGAAGTACTCACTTTATTCATACATATATAACAGCATCTTCATATTGCAGCCTTGTTACACAGGGTTTCTGCAGCCGCCATTTCAAATCCCTCGAACATTCCACCAACTGCCAACAGGATAAGGAAGTAAAGAACCAAAAGAAAAGAAGTGCATCATTCACAGCCAACAACAGAGCAACTGCCCATACATCACAATACATACACTCGTACACTTACACACTCATACACAGCCCAACAGTCCATACATCACATATACTCACAGACATACACACACACACTCACAGACACAAACATGCACTCACAGACATACACACACTCACACACACACTCTCAACTTAATAATGTAATTTTAAAAACTCCTACCTGGAGAGCTGGCGTGGATCCGTCCCTGGGGTCTGCTGTGAGGCGGGCGGCTTCCCAACCGAGGTGGCGAGGGAGCTGTGATCTCTCTGCTCTGCTCCCTCACGGCTGTCTACTGATGCTGGGAGACATCACATTCCGGCTCCCACGGCATCAGTAAACAGCGCAAGAGGGAGCAGAGCAGAGAGATCACAGCTCCCTCACCGCCTCGGATGGGAAGCCGTCCGCCGGAGGGAGGGGGGTCTCTATTAGCTGGCCAGCAAGCCAGCTCCTGCCCCCACTCCCCATGACAGGGAAATGACAGGGGATGTCTCAGTGGGCGTTTGGGGGACGCATTTTTTGACGCCCCCTTAAAAGTGCCTCCCAAGGCAAATGCCTAGTTTGCCTTGGGCTAAATTCATCCATGTGTGTGTATATTTGTGCTTGGAATTTATCTAATATGTAATGGGATGTAGAAGGAGAAGCAAAGTTGGTTGAAGTGTGCCGAAACCAACGTACGAGTAGGCCTGTAAAAGAGGGCCCACAAAGGTGAATTGTTAATATAGATGGGTGTAGGTGGGTGGGGACAAACAGCTTGCACGACAAATGTAATTAGGGGGGGTAGGGTTTATTTAGGATATAGGATCATAACTCCTCCCACAAATTCAGGCCAAATGGCCTTCCAACTTGTGCTCGGAATTTATCTATTATGTAATGGGATGTAGTAGGAGAAGCAAAGTTGGTTGAAGTGTGCCGAAACCAACGTACGAGTTGGCCTGTAAAAGAGGGCAAAAGAGGATTCAAAGAAAACACACTTTATGCAAGTTTATACAGCGTGGGCACTGAAAGCCTGTGAGAAGTTTTTACTCTGATTGAGGTATATATGTAACTGCGCTGAGGATTGCCTGTGGCCCCGACACTTAGTGATGTAGACTGGGGTGCAAGAGCTTGAAGCTGCTGGTGCAGCGCTTTGTGACAGAGAGGCCAGCTAAGGAAGCCATGATGTAGCTCCACCTTAATGGAAGGTTTAGACGTGAAGTAGTGGATTAGGACTGATAGTGTGTGGTTGACCTTGGAGATGTAAAGCGGAGTGACAGCATAGGAGGTTTAAGATGCTTGATTTGTAGGTTTGGAGAAAGAGGCAAAAAATAGCCATATTTAACTGCAAAAGTCTTGATTCAAGCAAACTCTAACTGAGGGGTTGCTGTCTGCCGAATCAGCCACAGTGGCGGTGAGTATGACCGCCCTTGCTAATGAAATCGCAGGCTGCAGAGTCGTCAGAGCAGCATTCCACTTCCTTGCCGGTCCAAAGATGACCCAGAGTGAGGGAGGCCACCACGAAAGGGTAGACCTCCAACAAAGTAGAGGTCTCTCCAAAGGCCGGCAAGGCATCCGACTCAGTGGGCCAGACGCCCCTAACAAGTGGTTGCCGAAAAAAGGCTGCAAACCCTGTGTGTACTGCTGTGTCTTTGTGAATTGAAAGTGAGTGTTTTGAAAGTGGGGGAATGACCGAAGAGATCCCAATTCATGCGGCCGAAAAACTACTCCAGTTGTGCAAAACTGCCCTGGCTGGATCGCCCGAATGGTTGGGCAGGGGTTGGTACCTCGAGGAGCAAATTTAAGTAGCCCAGGGACAAGAGACCAACCCTGCGGAATGATATGCACAAAAAAGTTGCGGGGCCTAAACCAGGACTGAAGCCCCCTCCTATTGTGCGCAACACTCCGCAGGAGCAGGA